AATCCATGTCCTTCATCTCGCGTTATCACACTCGCCAGCATTAAGATAGCACATGGAAGTTCTGAATGTCATGTGTTAGGTTTAACATTCGTACCCAGTGCATTCTAGTTTGGCCGAGGACAATTTGTGACCGAAAGAAGACAACGACCATGACGAAAAGGAATACCGAAACTTAAACTCGGGATTCCTTTGGAACCCCGAGAAAGGGCTATGAAGTGTATATAAAAAAACGAAAATTTATGTAAAGTTATTGCATACGTTTTGTTTATAATAGTATTTCCGTTTCCGTTTAGTAGTTCGTTTCCGTTTCCGCTTTAGCTTTAGTTCCGTTGTCATTTTAGTTTTCCCGCGTGTATTCTAATTAACAATTAGACCTCGAGGTCGAGTGGACTACGAGCTAATAGCCCATGAGGCCGAGTCCGCGAGGCCGAATGGGCTATTAGCTCGTAGTCCACGAGGCCGAGAGGTCTAATTGTTTTAGTATAARCATACTAATCGGTCAAATAATGAAAACAAATTGAAATATCCTTAAAACAATTTATAAATTATAATTTATTTATTTTGATTTTCCCGCGAGTGGTCTATCAYAAATTAGACCATTAGTAGAGTAGCCAATCACAGCGCAGTATGAGTGATAGACCATTAGTATGTTTATACTAATTCTTTGTATTATCAGTTTTTTGTGCTGTCCCACGAGAATTGTTTACATGTAAATTCGATTAGTATTAGTTTTCTCTCGTCTTCGTGTTGTATACAACGTACTTTGTGGAACTGCGAATTGAGCTGTAAATTCTGTACTCGGAGTATCGCCTTTGTGTGGGACAGTCGGTAAGTTTSGTTTTCGTTGTGTTTGCTTGTAATCGTTTCTATTGATATAGCTTAATTGTATCGTAACTAGCGTTTTCTCTGTATTTGTATTTTACGTTTTTTTTTTCTCTGTATTAGTTTTACGTCTACGTTATTATACATTAAATAGTCAGTAAYACACGTCCCGGACCTGAYTGCGTTTGACGATACTCCGCTACAATTTATATTTTTGTGCAAAAAGAATATTGGGACTAACGATGTACTTTCAAGAGACCTTAATTTTAAGCCTTTTGATACAAGAAAAAGCTTACCCCTCAAACCATGATCAATTCGTGTTTCTGATCAAATTTGCAATACCAGGGGCGACTGATTGCTTTGGACAAAAGGTAGGATTGTATCGTGGGTGTATAAGTACCTTGACGACTGCGAGCYAATGACAACAGCGAAAATTGGCTTACCATGTACTGTTTCTATTTCAGGAACTATTAAGTGTTCTCGAGAAACTTTTGAACGCCCTGGGACGAAGTTCGAAGGCTTTTTCTGTTTTTGAGGTGTTTGGAGATCCTGATCTAATACGAGGCAAGACTTTAGGAAATGTCTTATCTAACTCAAAAAACGTTTGGTAAAATCTTAATTKATTGTTTATGTAAATACGTTTTCAACCCAGTTTTAGACTGTGCATCCAAACCACGTGACAACAAACTGTTCTAACTATTGGTTAATGAAATCATGAATTATTAATGAGATTAGTAACGTGCTTATAACAAATGCAATACTTCTTAGGAGATATCACTTGTTCTTATTAAGAATGATGTTCTTTCAATCCTTCAAAAAGCGTGCATTTTACGCCTTAATTATTATAACGACTGGTTGGCTCCTTTTTTCTTTGAGACAAGACACGAGCTTGAATCCCAAATTAAAAGCGCACAAATTCCTGGAGAATGTTTTTTCCAATTTGGTGAAAGTTAACAGTACTATCTGTTCTTCGAATACAGACAATGGTGGCAAGAAACGTCAGGTTTGACATAACTTAAGTCTCTATTCTTTATATATTTATAATATAGTTGAATAAAATTGTGCAATTTGATTGGTTTAGAGGAGTGGTATTTATCCTTAATAGTGGTATTTCAAATTTCAYAATTTTATTCAACCATATTATAAACAAATAATAGCATGTTTTGTACGTGGAATTTGGGATAAATACCACGCGTGATATTTCAAAATTGTCAAACAAAATTTCACGTGCGAAGTATAGATGGCTTTGATTGTGTTTCCTAAAGAACATAAATTAAAGGTTTTTGATTGATAAAGTTTCAAAAAGTGCAGTGCTTTTTGTTTAAATATGGAGCGCTAATTTTACTAGGAAGACGTTCGAAGACGTTTGCAATGTGGTTTAATGAGGAATGACCCACATTGTCATGGATATCTTTCGGCCTAGTTAACAATGCATTTGATTAATTCATCATCATTATTTATTTATATATTCATTATTCATAATTAGAATATTTATATTTGTAAATTGATATTTAAGATTAGTTTTTATACAATTAGGATATTTATATTTGTAAATCGATATTTTAGATTATTATTTTTTTTTATAAATATATATATTGTTTGTAAATACATGTATATATCGGCTTGATGCGAAAGCGTTGTCGACGGTAGATGTAGATGGCTTCCCAAATTTCAACATCAGTCTATCCGGTGACCTATCCGTTTTCCTGGTTTCCTAAGATTTAGCTTACCCGTAATAACGGATGTAGGTTGTTATCCGAACCATGCTCGGCCAGTAAATTCAGCATTCAACACTTACTTTTTGGTAAATCAAGGGTGGCCGAGCGGTGAGAGCGCTGGTCTGTCGCCTCGGTCGGGGCGCCATAAGTGATTTGAGTTTCTTTAGTCCGGCCTCTCCCTTGCTTCGAGGTTTTTCCGGGTCTTATCCGGTTTTTCCTCCCTCAGTAAAAACGAACCATTTCTATCTGCTGTGCTCCGCGTTCAGTCGTTCGTTGCTATGTGAAGGAAGCGCCTAGCCGGCAGCACGCCTATGTGTAAGTGTATGTAAAATGTGTTTGTAGCATAGCACTTCGATTTGAGAGCGCGTCGAACTGCGTCTTTCACAATTCAGCACCCGTGCTGCCATGAAGRACGATTAGCACCCAACACCTTTTCCTTTTTTATTCAACTCTTAATTTCTATTGGACTGTGGTAGCTTAGGTGTATAGATGGTGCGAGTATTTAATTGAAGGACTAGAACTGATATTGTAATGAAAATTTGAACAATGGCCGTAAAAAAGCAATTTTCTCAATATGAATGCACTCAATCTAATGTTTTCAATGTTATTAGTGTACACCAAACTATGAACTACCACAAATCCAGCATTTTGATTGGCTATTAAAGGATCATTAAGCTATGGTCTATTCATGATAGAACATAATCGCATCGACAGGAGCGAAAACAGTCAAAAAAATGCCTAAAATGTCGAGAAAATATTATTTCAATTTGCCCTATAGTTTGACGAATATTAAAACAGATAACGGATAACAACGTTAAATCGGAGGTCCCGTCTACTCTACTCTAACCCTGTAGTGAACGTTAAAGAACCACTGAGGACGCAGGTACGACCATCCTCAGTGTCTGTACTTCGCAGACTTCGGCCGCATAACCTTGAGGGCACTAACGGCTAACAAATCTAACCTACTCATGTTTGTAAACTGCACGGCTACTTAAAGCGCCTTCAATAGCAGCCTGTCCAAGTTCCTCACTAACTAATGTGATCCAGATGTTATTCAGATCATTGGTCTGCGAAATCTGGGTAGTCGGCTACACATATCTATCTATCTATCTATCCGATAATAAAGTCGCAGTAGTCCACTCGATATCGTCGATTTATTATYAAATACACCTATTTAAAAAAACGTTGTCGTTGCCACGACATATTCCACAGTGTTGAAACTGCAAAGAATCTCGGGATTGCGATATATAATTATGTGTTTACTTTCAGTTATTCAAAACGCTCGGTCTTGTTGCGAATATAGCTTTGAAGCTAATAGACGGTTTTATAAACGTGGAACATTTTTCAAGGAAAATTCTCATGGCGAGATTTTTTGATTGGTTTAATACACGCAATTAATAGTATTGTTTGCCTCCATTGAATTTAAACCATATAAACAAAATATATATTGARTATGTATTAATTACGCATGAAAACCCCGAGATTCTTTGCAGGCTCGAGACTGTGGACTGTGTCCTGGTGACGACAACGTTTTTTTGAAATAGGTGTATATAACAATGAGCAGTAGTGTTTTATAAGGATAAAAATCCGAGAGCAATCAGCTTWTTGGTAAGGAGTATTCCATCAGTTATAACGTTTCTTGCAGCTGACCAATCCAATAGACCTAATCGGCTGACGGCGTTGCTATGTACGTTGCCACCCAATTCAAATCCTGTGAGAAAAAGAACTTTTGTTTCTAAGAATTCAACTGTGATTTGAAAATATAACGAACAATGAAACTTAGTCCCAGGTGGTTTGAATTGGGTKGAAACCGATTAGGTCTATTGGACACATAACTCACTAATTTTTTTTTTAATTCATTATGTTTTTATTAATGTTTTAGAACGATTCTTCAATGGAGTCATCGAGATTGCTGCTTCAGCAGATTCCGTCTGCATTTCGAAAATTTATACCAGAAAATATCACTGACGTTTCAGAATATGTAAAGGTGAGCACAAAATCCACAAAACAGTAATAATAATTAATAATAATAATAATTTATTACTTATATTGCCCATACTCCATGGGAAGATGCTCGCATGGGCATTACATAACATTAGAATAGATAAAAATACAACTATTTACAATATATATAGTTATAAAAGTGTCTCGACTATCTTGGGAACGCCTTTTCAAACAAGAAGGTCTTAAGATGCTTCTTGAATTCGGAGATCGATGAAAGGGAAGACTGTTCCATAAGAAAGGTGCGGCTACTGAAAACGATCGGTCGCCTAAAGTTGAAAGTGTTCTTGTTCGGGGAGTTCACGGCTATTTCTAAGACTGTATCTGGATATAGGCTTTACAGTTATAAGACCCTTAATATAAGACGGGGAAAAACCATTCAGTGCCTTGAAAGTAACTGGAATGCAAAGATAGTTTCTCAGCATGCAAATATGATGGAAGGCTATATATCTAGGTGTGCTATTGGTAGAAACCTTGTATTTGGYAATGGTGAGATGTTGATCATATTCAACCATTCCTATGAGATTCAAAAGATATAAGAGCGGCACCCATATTGGAGGAACGAACAATAGATACTAATGAGAAATCCTTCATTTTGAAGTTCCTCCATATGACGTTACTTRAAAACTAAGAGTATATTAAACCTGATACCTTGCTATGGACATGTAGTATGAAAGAAACGGGMCAAAGTATTCTGTTAGTTGAAGATGTGACGCCATGCAATATAATGAAAATTGCCTTTGAATGACAGACTATTGCGTCAGCTCAACAGCTCAAATTATTCCTATGTTAAATTTGGTTTCACATATTCCTAGGTCCCAGCAGCAGATTTAACAGACTTTGGCGATTTCCGATCTTTTAGAACACCAAARTCCCTCGCCGATATCATGGAAATGTGCAATGATCTCAATGCTTCATGCAAAGCATTTGTCTTTGATGCGAGAGAAACGGAGTCATTAGTATACATCAAAAATATGCTCGCATTACCATCCACTTCCTCCTCTAAAAATAATCTTTACATTAAGAAGACCTATCTGGAGTCATTTTTACAAGGTACGCAAAGCTGCTTCAGATAATCTATTCCAATATACCGAAATGCATTACAAACCAGCGATCAATCTTTTAAGACTGTTGAAAAAACCCTTTAGTCGCCTCTCATTGCCTCTATTCTGTCGATCAAAGTCTCATAAACTCCGACTTAGAACGTCCGAAACGTCAGTAAGTTTTTTGACCTATTTTAACTGTGTTAAATTTATCTTTTTACACAACTGTTTCTTTAGAACTGACACCGAAGCAGCTCACGCTAGTTTTTTTTTATTTATTTATTTATTTATTTTTTTAATTAGCTTTTGCCTCTAGTTGGGCAGGGACACAGCAAACAGCTTGAGCCAATTACTGCGGACCCTGTACTCTCACACTCACTACCTCTACATTAAGTATTTTAGCACACAACACTCCTCACATGTTGATTTTTACTGAGGGAGGAAAACCGGAGCACCCGGAAATTTTTTTCATGTTTACTTTTCTTTCTTTAATTATTTTTCTGTTTATGAAGTTCTTTCATTTAGATCAAAATGTTCATTGACCAACCTGACTGGCGCAGATAGGAACACCTGTCAACTTCCAAAAATTGATCCATGGGCGAAAGAAATTGAAGTCTTGCTCAAAAAACCACATCCATCCAAAAAATGTAACGATAAATTGGTTTATACAGAGCTGAAAAATGGGATGCTACGACTCCGAGATGACAGGAAAAATGGTATTTACAGAATAGTCCTCTCAAGGGATTCTTTTTTACAGACCCACTCAGTAATGAGGGTAGAACAGAGAAAAAAATTCCGTATTTGTGAATGWTGTCTATGATTGGATGAGTTTACGACAACTTCAGGGGCGTGTGTATATTTTTTTATTGGTTGGGTTCTTACAACAAATTTTTCGCTATGACGTAACATGCATCAGGCGACGTCATGTAAATTTATAGTTTTTAAGCGCAAAAGAACTTCATATCTAAATCGAGAAAAATCAATTCTCTTAAATAATTGGGTTGAATCTAAACAAATCTCTACAATGTATCATTCAGACTTTCCCCACGATTAATTTGGATTCGAAGGGCTGTGACGGGCACCCGGAGCATGTCGGTATATATAATCCTCGCACTTACGTCAGTGTTTATGCCTGTAGTTGGTTTTCGTGTCTTCTTGTCAAACAAACACGTTTTTGTTATTTTTTGTTCAAGTCATTTTCTTCTTTAAAAAATGTCTTTGTCGCGTTTGGCAAGTGGTATTTTCAAAAWTTAAAAACAGAATTGGAATGATTATGAAAATAGACCGCTTATCGGAAAAGAACCCTAACACATGAAAGCAAAACCATGCTGCAATTGTTGGTCTTTATAAGTTKGAGCGTATTTGTTTGATACAAACCGAGTAGAAATGTGCAAAAAAAGAAGACAAAAAGTCTAGAGTGTGGATTTTAGGACGTTGCCATACCTTCGATTCTCGGTAATTTTTGCCACTCCGTAATTTTTTATCCAAATATATACGCTCAAACGCAGCAACTTTACTAATTTTACTATAATATTTCTTGTCATGAAATCCGYTTTTTAGATTGCTTTAAACTGCTTAGAGCTTGTAACTTCTCATCAGTCCATTTTCTATTTTGCAATGGCAAAGTATTCCTTTTTTCATTTTGCACTCATTAAAAATCACATTAAAAATATCCTCTTTTTTCCTTTCATTAGATTCAAATTTTCTTTACGCATTGGCTGAGCCTATCATAAGAGGCCATCGTGACAACGATATCWCATTGGGTCCTCCGAGAAATGTTAATTTACAGAACCAAAGCTTCAAGATTGATAGCGATTTTTGGAAAGTCACTACTTACCTCAAAGATAAGAAGAACATCAATTATCATCTAACCGTAATCGAAAAACCTGAAGTTCTAAAGCGCAAGTTACCTAAAGATGCCCTTCTGGACATATATATCCTTGCATTTGATGGGACATCGGAGGCTCACTTTCGGCGCATGCTCCCTAAATCCTATGCATTTCTTAAAGATGATTTAAAGGGGTTTATGTTTAAGGGTTTTGCTACTGCTGGAGATAACACACTGCCAAATATGAACGCAATGCTGACGGGAATCCCTCTTAAAGAAAACAGGAAAATACAGGTAATGCACGCAAATTTACTGTACTCAGTTTGAAGATGTAATGTTTTTCCCATGGACGACTTTCAAAAATGGYGGTACGTCGCGGCAGCCGATTAGGAAACTAATGACGAAACATGGAATCGATACTTCTAAAGACCCGTTTACACTTGCGCTTTTTGCAGCGAGATTGTCGCGCGAAAAATGCCAGTTTGTTCTCGCGCACCTCAAATCGTACGTGTAAACAGCACTGCGATTGTCGCGGCAATAGAAAATCCCCCCGAGTTGCAACTAAATTTGAAGCGCGATAATCGCGCTTCAAATATCGCAAGTGTAAACGGGCCTTAGTTATATCAAAGCAAACACTGCACAAATCGTATTTGTCGTTGTGTTAAATTTCAAGAGCTATTTTGTATGTGATTTACTGTCACTAAACCACTCGAACAAGACCGCTTGTTGTTTAGCAGACGCAGGTTGGCCTTTAGGACTTCGTATCGGAGACTGTAAGGCTTGCTTTTTGAAAGTCGTGTATTTTTTATCGCTTGAAAAGATTCTTGAATATTGATGGCAGTAAAGCCACGAACCCTTCGATGCCTACTCTTTGATTGCTCCGTTAGAACAGGGCCTCCATCGTTATGTTAGAATTCTTTTTATTCTTTTGAAGAGCATCTGTTTTTTATCTATTTGTTTTTTAAACCAATCAGGATTTTTACTTTGAACGATAATTTAATAATAATAATTTTTTTACTTGATAGAGCGCTTTTTAACAACAAAAAGATCAAAAGCGATTTGTTGCGACTCTTCTCAGTCATATTACTGAACTATTATTGTTGATAATAGTTAGGATTTATACCAACCCTTGATCAATCCCTGTTATAACATTATGACCAAAACAGGTGCAGCACTTGAAGATAGTTCCCAGGATGTAAAAACCTAAAAAGCTAATTATTGTTTGCCATCTAAATCAAATTGGACGATCTATACAATACTAAATATTCATTTATACAGGCTTTGAATGACTGGCCATTGATGTATAAATATGTCAGAGAGAAAGGATTTGCCACAATGTTCAGTGAAGATAATCCCGGCCTAGGTAAAGTGATGTATAGATATAAAGAAGACTATCGAATCAACCAATTTCCCTGAGTGTAGTAATATCGGTTTATCTTTGAAAAGGCAAACGGGCAGAAGGAGAGAGACCTCTTCTGGTCCCCTATATTCTTTCTTGTTGAGATTTCCGGTCATTTCTTTGACAAAGCGTGTCCTTTTGATATGCCTCACGATGACAGCAAATATAATGATCCGGTTTACAAAACACAAGCTGCATGAAGTTTTAGCCTTTACTAAAACTTTCACATGATAAATCAAAGTTGAATGCTTAAGCATTTTTAACTCGAAGATTGCGAAGCAATCGAAAAGTTATAGGAGGGAGATAGATGATGGTGTGTGAGGTGAGGTGGACTAGTTAATAGGTCACTTATTTTTTCTGTCAACATACGGGCATTTAGAACAAGATGGCCAGGTGTTTTGATACAGAAATGGCTTTTTAAACACACAAAATGTGATTTTTGACGTCTGAACAAAGTCTGAGGYTKCATACAGATTTATGTCSAYKGTATACTTGTCTAACAATCTTCGAGTTGTGTCGCCATTGGCGGCTTGATTGTTATTGTTGCTATAAAYTTTGTGTAAAGCTGGMTTGGGAATTATTTGACTTTTGTAATGCGCTATTTACCCTTTAACTGGTATCAAAACACATTTTGTATCCCTKATGGCCCTCTAGCGTTAGCCTTATCTTCTGATAGAAATATTTTTCTTTACTAGGTGCATTCATTTTAACATTACCAGGATTTTTCGAACAACCAACAGACCATTATGCACGGCCATTCTGGAGAGAAGCTCCCATGGGRCCTTGCATAGGTGGRCAGTTTCAACCGAAACTTCAATTTGATTATCTTAAAAGCTTTATGAAGTCGTACAAAGGACGAAGAAAGTTTGCACATGTTCATCTAACGGACGTCTGCCACAGAGGTGGCGACATGAATTTTATTAGCATCGCTGAGGAAGCTTTGCTCTCGTTTCTTAAATCTTTAAAAGAAGAGAAATTATTGAATCAGAGCATGTTTCTGGTTATGGGTGACCATGGCTGGCGGTACGGCCAGTTTAGAAGAACTTACCAAGGAAAACTAGAGCAACGTCTTCCCATGTTGTCTGTRGTTCTACCACAATGGTTTCAGCAGAAATATCCGAGGAGAACTGCTAATTTTAGAAAAAGTACTAAACTTATTACCTCTCCGTTTGATCTCCATGCAACGTTTATGCATCTTATGGAATTCCCACACTATTCTTCCAAAGGTGATGAGCAAGGCTCAAGCCTGTTTGASATTCTTCCAGACGACAGAATTTGCTCAGACGCAGGGATCCCAGATTTATGGTGTCCATGTATAGAGTGGCATCAGATTGACCACACGCATGCGCAAATAAAGACCGCCGCTGAAAAGATAGTCGATTGGATGAATCGAGATTTAGATAGAAATCATCTTTCAAGAGAAATGTGTAGTAAGATGAAGTTAAACAAAGTAGTGAAAGCATTGCAGCGAGTACCTAAATACACGGAAACAAATAATGACAAAAAAATGGAAAGATGTAGCTATGAAATTCAACTAGAAACTCTACCCGGGAAMGCTCTTTTTGAAGTGCCCGTGGATGTTTTGAGTACTGGAGAATATAAGGTTTATGAAATTAGTAGAATAAACGCGTACGGGACACAAGCACAGTGTATTGAGACAATAGTACCATCTGTACGAAAATATTGCTATTGTATATGATAATAGATAATGGTTAGAAGGTTAGATTGATACCTACTTTATTGGAAAATAAATCTGCAGCCCCACCGGCGGTTGAATTGCCTGTATTTACACTGGAAAAAATCGCGCGCTTTGAAGGTTGTAAATTTGATGTAAATATGATGTAAGTGTCCAAAATTCTGTAAATTTAATGGAAATCATTTACATCAAATTTACAGAATTTTTGACACTTTCATCATATTTACATCAAATTTACAACCTTTAAAGTGCGTGGTTTTTTCCAGTGTTACAGCAAGAAAAAATTGAAAAAAAAGCGTTAGACAATTTTTTAGATCGAAAAATGTTATACCTTTTAATTAAAATTAAAATTACAATGAAACAACAACAAAAACAACATCAATTTCTAAAGTGTTGTTAGGACAGTCGCTGCGCTCGTGGATCCAATTGAGTTTTGAACATTAAATGAAAATGACGTCAAGAGGGTGTCAATAAGAGGACATACATCTCAAAACCGTGCGATATTTATTACACGGACGCACAAAAAATGGAATCTGTTAACTTTATGTATAGCAAGGTAAAGATTATCTCTATCAAAGTTGTAAGTTCAAAACGTTGATTGGTGTTTTGTGTTATTGTAATTTTTCAATCAGAATAAAGCATCTGTGTTCTAACTGATTTACAGACAATCGATGTGGCCCAAAACAAGAAAAGGTCTCAGTTTTAGACTCTCATCATAGAACTAGGTTTCGAGTTGAAATGTACTTAGTGCAGAGTCATAAGTAGGCTAAAACATAGTAGCGCTTGGACGTGGGAAACCAAGTTGATTACTGCTCGTGCTCAGATATAGTCCAGTCCTGACCTCTCGTTTCCGACGCTCGCGGAATCGCTGGGGAAAGAGAGTCCAGTATAACTTGCATGCGCATGTCASCTTAGCGACCTCGTGATTACCACACCGATGTGGTAATCACGAGGCTAGTCCTATACAATTACCAAGATGGCGGAGAGCGCGGTGGAAGGTAGTTTCCACTTGAAATACAAAAATAATTTTGGACCGGCTTTTCTAAATGCCGTTAGTTATGCGACAGAGACGGGTCTTTTTTTACGCTTTGCCCATATACTTCATAAAAAAATCGAGCTACTTCAGTGTAATCACCGTAAGCACTATAGAGAACCGAACGCCTGGCTGGAGCGCAAGTTTTAGTGCAAAACCTGCAAGCCGAAGCTGCCGCCATTATTTTTCGAATTTTTGACAGAATATAGCGTGCACGTGAAGTAAACAAACCACTGACCATTATAAATTGCGGGCTCTCAAAATTCAACTTTATTCTGATTGGCTGGTCCTCTGATGTGGGATAATTCCAAAACAAATATTTTCCACAATTGTTTTTAATAGATATAAATGAGTCATATATTTGTATTGCTTGAAGTTTTGAAATAAGGCCATTTTCATGCAAGTAGCACTTTAAAGATCACTATAAAACAACTGTTTCTTAGATAAAACCAGCTAACTAAACGCATGGAACAATGGTGAAGACAGAAAAGAGTGAAATCGAGAGAGATTTTACCAAGCTAAACATATTGTACTCAGAAGTAAATAAATGCTGAAGTTGAAGATTATAAGCCAGATAGATATGTCTTTTAGATGTTATGCAAAAGTAGAAATAAAATAAGTTAAAATATCATGTTACGGCGTACTTTGTTTTCTCTCCATGGGTCCATGGCCAACGTCCAGTTTCTGAGGACGGTCCACTGACATTGTTTTTATTTCAGATTTTCATCATCAACGAAAATTTCTTGTTCTTTTTATAAAAACGAATTGCCATTGATTTCTAGATAAACAAACTTTTTTGGACGAGGGAAAACAATATGTTTTGTGGTCCCAAGACCGCTGATGTTTCCCGAAGCGAATACTATAACTATTTGTAGTCGAAATTAAATCAAATGTTTCATAACAATTTGGATTGCACCTTCCGTAAATGTGACATTTTCACGACATTGAAGAGTGTTTTTCTGCGATTTTGCACCTATTGTTGACGGTCCACAACATATTATTGACCGCTGGTGGACAGTTGGTGGAAACAGTAACATTTTGTGACTTTCACGTGATACGCTCTCGACCAATAAGATACTAGGAAAAGAAAACTTTGACACTTGATATATAATAAATAATTTTATGTGCTAAAAGAAAGGGGCAATGTCTAAAATTAACTAGATCGTTAATTGGAAACTGAAAAATCAGCGGTGTCAGATTCGCGAAAACTTCTCAACAAAAACGTGCCACAATTTGGGACAACTCTTTACTTACGAATAATAAATAGATAAATTCCCGGGGAGCGGGGGGGGGGGGGGGCAGAGTGTAATTTATTTCGTTTGCGAGGGGAGTAGTAATTAACTTTTTTGATTTTTTGACTCATTACTCAACCTCCCGCTTCCCTTCGGGAAACATCAGCGGCCTCGGGACCACAAAACATACTGTTTCCCTCGGTTCCAGTAAATAAGTGTTAAAAGTTCTCTTACTCGGTCAGAAAAATATCAGACTTAAATTTTGATTTATATCCGCCTTTTTGCTTTAAAAAAGGGCGCGTCGATTAATGGTTACCATGCTTCGTCATACCAAGAGTACCCAACGACACCGCTCCATAAAATAACCGCTCCACATCCTATTTTTTGACTGGCTGGCAAATTCATATGGAACTTATGGGGGACAAATAGTCCGTGATCACTCAAGCTTGACCTGACAGTCCGTACGAAGTGCCAAATTTGACGAAAAAAGGCCAGATTTCAAGGCTTTTTGAAGAAATGCGGCGACATTAAAAACAATCGTAAAAACCTAGCACCGGATTTAAGAAATAAAATCTATATGCGACCTTTCTGGGTAATTTTCATGAGAAAATTCGAAAATCCAATCACGTATTTTTGCCCTTGAAGAGTTGAAGTTGAGCATTAAAATAGTATGGCGATCCATGTTTTCACCACAGTTCGCTCCAAAAAACTGGGCCTCGCGTATGACTTATTTTGTTAATAAAAAACCTAGCACCGGATTTAAGAAATAAAATGTATGTGTGACATTGCTGTGTATTTTTCGTGAGAAAATTTAAAAATCAAATTACGTATTTTCGCCTTTAAAGAGTTGGCGTTGCTTCGCATCCGTTTGCGTTTCGGGATTCCTGTCCCGACGATGAACGGATGCAAAGGAGACTACTTCTGTAGGCACAAGCAACAAAAATCAAACTTGAATTTTTCAAATTATTGCTTTCTTATTATATGTTGAAAACGTACTCAAAACTATGCAGTTTTGTGTTAATTCAATATTTGAAAAATTTATATCAGTCAGTGAACGTAACTGTGATATTATATGTACATGTACTTTCCTTTCTAGAGGTGACTTTGCTATTAATAGTATTTAATGGTCAGATGATGATGTTAATGAGGTCGATCGACGACAAAATATTAATTAACTCCATTGTATTATATTTCATGAAGTAAATAAATAAATTACATGCATATATACATGCATGCATGGATGCATGAGTGAGGCTGGACAATAATCCAAGCAAATGTCACCCGATGTATGGCAATAAGTTCCATATGGAATTTTCATGTTCCTGGCTGGGAGAGTTTAGACTTAAAGTGCACTGCTGGACCAGATAGTTCAGTGCTGGCTGGGAATTTTCAATTTGTATACCTAACTGGGACATCAAATTACGGGGATATTAATAGACTTTGCTGGGAGCTATTTTTGCTTGTTTGATTAATAAAGCATGTATGCTGATGTTGATATTTAATGTGATATATAAACCTTTGACAGTTGCCATGCCTTCTGAGAATTTTACCTGGATTCTCTTAATTTGATTGGTACTTGGTAACCTTACTGAACTCTCGTTTGGACTAGTCGGTTAAATACGTTGTTCAAGCAGTTTCGAATTAAGGCGCCTTTTCTTTAAAACAAATTCATGCAGTATACAACTTCAACCACTCAAAGTATAATTCTGTTCAAGAGTGATTTTAATCGATCAAATGTTTCTATTTATCCGACTTGGAGGTCATTTGTTTGTGGAAGTCATAAGCGCGCAATTTTCAGTTGAAATAGCAGAAATAGTCTCAAGTATCATGGGTCTCAAGACTGTGAACGCCGAGGTTTTCTTTCAATCTATCTGGTCAGTAAACGATGATTGCTTTCACTTTAAACAGTTGGAACTGATTTCCCTTCAGCGATTACAACCTTCAATACGGTAAGCCATATTACTATAGTGCACTTGTGCCACAACCCCAGTTACCGTTACTTCCAAAGACCGGCTGTTTGCGTCCGACCTTAGTTGATATCCATGCAAATTGAAGGTAAGATCATTACGTTGATTTACTTATAATATTTTCATTTTAAATAAGAATATTCATTAAGTTTCACTATTTTTTAAGTTTTAGTTGGTTTGGCCCTTGTGTTATTAATACGCCAACCTTTTGTTGAAAGCATGAGTATTTTCGATATAGCTTCGATAAGCACGTATTTGTACTTTTTGTCGACTTTTATTAAATTGTACTTGTTTCGCCAATCCAACACAGATTTTAAAAAATTCTGTCTATAAGTTCTTTTGTTGTCCACGTGATCAATACCTGGACCCAATACGTCACATCCCGTAAAATATTTTTCATAAAGCAAATATCGTTTCATCCATGATAAATATATTTTCTATGTTTCAAGCTTTCGGATTGACAATCTATCATCAGGAAACGTATTCACTCTTTACAAAACTTGGTATGAATCTTGCGGTTTAGCAGTTTGCTAAGACGTCCCCGTGGCTTTGCAKACGATCCTGYGAAYATTTKCGRTTTTTAGTCAGCAATGGCTTTTTTTCGTGAATTTTGCAGACGTTTCTGTGAATGTTTAACGGATCTTGTCTTACAAACTAGACAGGCACACTGATAGTGCATACCTACATGATATAGCCTCATCATGAAACTGTTGTTTTTTTTTCAGTAGGTACTGGTCGTTGTCATTGTTTCCAGACTTAAAAGCTAACGTGAAGAAGAAGAATTGAAGCGCTATTTGTACATGTAAGTTCAAAAGAATAGTAAGTATTGCTACGGCTATAACTTTTAACACAGTCACTCTTTTCGATCCTGTATGTAGAAATCACATCACAATCGCTAAATCTGTCGCCAGGATGAAAGTTTGAAGAGGAAATGATGGTCCACAATAAACAATGATGTAAAATGCCTATAGCTCACAGAAAGGCAAAACCTTTTTTTTCAGCGATGTTAATAATTAACTATAATCCGCGTGGGAACTCGTGTCATGTGACATAGACATCATTTTAGGTGATTATATGAGTACTCTTCTCTTGTCATACCCGCTCACAATCAAGAGGAAACATATCCTGATTGGGCTTCCTTTGGAATCAACACTGCGGGGTCTGGGTATAAGATTCTTCTATCCAAGATGGCGTCCGAGTCGGGTTCGGTTCATCGAAATATTCTTCAGATGTCAGTTAGCGCTATTTGTAGAGAGCAAGGATTCTCTTCKGCTTCAAGACTAGCGATTGAAACTCTGACAGAGATGCTTCAAAGTTGTAAGTTTAAAACGGTGATCGTTTATTTATGTTATTTGTAATTTTTCATCAACTTTTCAGCTGAAGTCTAAGCTACTGTAGACGTTGATGTAAAAGGTCACAACAACCTTGACATCAATCATACATTCTGATTTTATTACTTTAATATGCATTATAAGGTTTAGTGTTGCATTAGTTTTATTTAAACATTCAAGTTCACGATCTATAAGTAACTTTGTTTATGTGAAGCGTATAGAACAAGGGGTCAGACAAGTTAAGGTTAATTATAACTTAAGTTTTACATGGCTCTGAGGGACATTTAATCCCTAATCTCCCGAGGAAGCCATGCTATTACTTTGTAATACCATGATTTCCGAGGAAAAAATTGAAGTTGAACTTGAGCGAATTTGAATTCTTGTTTTTTTGTATGCTCCAATGTTTTCAATCAGAAGTAATATAAACATTGCAACAAACAATTCATGCATGAATTGGAATATGACATGAAAAGAAAGGATACGCACTGTTCTAAGAGTATCACTCGCCGAACAACAGTACAAATTGATATTGATAATCCGACCATTGTTACTGATTTCCCACAACGAACTTTGTTTGAAATTGCTTTTCAGTTCTATTCAATGCTGAAGTTAACGAACCTTAACTTCAACCGCGAAAAGTTGTTTTTATATTTGCAAGTATAATGCCATGAAGCTTATCAACTATTATCAAACATTGAAATTCGTCAAGTGCACATGCTCAGCGGTACGAAGTAGATACCCGGAACCAGAGCTACTCGGTCAATTTGTCCCAAAAATCATCCCACATTTCAGTGTGAATGAGACGATAACCAGACCGTTCATTGCAAAGGTAAAAAGAAGACAGCTGTAGGGACATTCAGTTGTCCCTGCTGGGAAGCAAAGGTTTCCTTTGCCTTCCGTTTCTCATGAATAACATGAGGGACGATTAGTCTAATCGTCCCTCATGTTATTATGCATGAGGGACGATTACTAGTAATCCCTCCTGTTATTATGCATGAGGGAGGGATGTTCGCTTGTAAACATCCATCGGAAGACAAAAGAATCCGAGGTGATCATGGTATTAACTTAGTTAAGTTATATCATATTTAAGGTTCGATATATAACATTTCTCTTTGACTTTTTTTAAGCCCAAAATATGAGATCATAAGTCCCTGCCTATATATATTTAAGGTTCGTTATAACATTTCTCTTTGCCTTTTTTGAGCCCAAAATATGAGATCATAAGTCCCTGCCTAGTGATATACCGAAATATTTTATATTTAGATTTATTAGAGCTTGCAAGAGGAGCAAAGACCCACTGTGAGTTGTCTACAAGAGTGAAGCCAACGTTAGGAGATGTCAAAATGGCTCTAATTGATGTTGGTAAGATGTTATTCATGCATGCAGTCAGTTCCATTTATGTTGTGCACTTTTAAGACATAAAGCCAGTAATATCTTCTGAGTTCTGTAAATAATAATAATATGACTTATAGAGAGCTTATTCCAGTCTGTTCTAAAAGCTGTAGAAATGCTAATTAAAAAATAAGTTTTGAGATTAGATTTAGAATCAGTTTTAAAGTGAATATCTGCAATAGAAGTAGGTGGAGAGTTCCAGATGAGAGGTGCAGCAATGGAGAAGGACTGTAAACTATATTTTATATAGCTTGGATGTAACCCCGGGGGGGGGACTCCCTAATATCAAAGGGCGGGGGTCCTCGGCGTCCCTTTTAGGGTTTGAAATKAGTATTTTGGTCCCGCTTAGGGTGATCATGACAAGAATTCCTACCAACTGTGTTTTGTGGTCCCTTTGAGGGTATACGGCAACCCTAAGCAGTCATAAAATGGCAACGTCGTCATATACTCAATACGAGCCGACGGTGTTCGATGATTGTGTAAAAACACAAATAAAATCGGTAAACCAAAACAAAATGATCTGTTATTGATTGGTCCCTTTTAGGGTTGAAATTTCAGCACTGCCACGCCCATCATATCACAATAGAGGTCCCTTTTAGGGGTCATTTTCACAATCTCCGCTGAGGACCCCCCCCTTTGAATTATTTTATTGGCTAAAGAGCGGGCCACACTTTCCCGTACGGACCAAATGAAACGAGAAAAAACGTTTTTTATCTTAAAAAGGCTCGCTTTCTCTCTTTTTGTAATTGTACTGTATAAAAAAGAGTCAAAAATGAGTCCAAATTTTGCCATCAAGGTTCTCAGCCTTTTCTTTTTTCCTTCTATTTTGAATGACAAGAAAAGTACGAACAAAAACGTATTTTTATGTTCGATTCTCTATTAATTTTACTATTTTTCCCTGAAAATGCTATATAATAAGATATTATTATTCTTTTTTATGCTTTTTGTGATATTATTTTATCTTAAACCTAAATTGCTAAAACCTTGTCATAGAGAAATACAAATGTAGAACATTTGTAAATTTAGTAAAGAGGAATACAGTTGAACCTAATAAATGACACTGGCTCATGAATTCCCAAAAAAGTCGATTTACTCTAAACATATCTTCTATTAAACTGAGTCATTTGGACTCCCATCAAGATGACTGTCTGTTTGACTGTACGGTATCAGGTTATTTCGCACAAAAGACCGTTCACACAAGTCGTTCCGCCCGAAGTTTCGAATCGTTCGCACAATTATCATTTTTTGTGCGAAATGTCCTCTTAAAGTTGTGCGAACGGTCCAAAACCTGTGCGAAAACACTTGTGCGAACGGTCTTTTGTGCGAAATGACCTGTATTCGACTGTACAATAGAAGTCTGTCAAAAGAAAACATTCAGACTTGATGCTCATTGTTAATCATGTTCCTTTACTAAAATTCAGATGTTCTATTTCTGTACAACAACATTTTTGCAGTCAAGTCGGGGGTGGATCCAGCAATTTTTGAAAGGGGGGGACATCAACAAAAATTTGCTTGCTTCACCAACTTACTAATCTTCAATCGAAATGTAAATGGTTGACGACAATCAAATGTATATTATTTTTTGATGTTTCCTTTTTGTCTTTTCATATAAAAGTTAAAAGAAAAACTTTTTTAACCCCCTCCCCCCTCCCCCCTCCCGCCCCTAATCGGCCCCTGCAGGTGAACATAAAATAATGAATGTTCAAAGTTGATTCTTGATACTAATTGTGACTCTATTTTTTGAATCTTAGGTGCTGATTTAGACTCAATCCCACACTATGCAAAACGAAGTCATAGACTACATCTAAATAATCGTAAGAAATTAAATAGGAAATCCGCAAAAAAACTTAAAGATAAAATATCATTTGTTAGAGAAAATCGAAGTTAATGTCGTATGTAAATCAGGACAAATGATGCAGTCATGGTAGTGATTGTCCACTGTGTTTACCTTATGAATTATTAATTGTTTTAATAACTCAGGAAAGAAACTCCAAATATGTGTAATGAAAATGGTTTGTTCCTGCTACTGATAAATTCACCAAACTGTCACAAGTGGCAGTAGCAAAGCACATTTTTAACTGCTTTCAAAGCATTTAGAGAGCAAAAAAGTTAAATAGAATTATCGTAATAATTGCAATTATAATCCCAGTGTATCAAGGTGGAACGAAGCACCAAATAAAAATCTCCTGTCTTTCTGTCTGTAACCAACATGTTCTTGAATACAGCTCTAAAGTCCAAAATCATGCCAGCACCAAAAGCCCTTGAGGCTGGAAATAAGCAAGCTAGACCATCATATATACCAACACATCTACCAGCATTTCCAGATCCTCATTCATATGTCAAAACACCGGTAAGAAATGGTTATGCAAATACAACTTATCTAATTGCCTTATCGAAGAATAATGTAACAGCATGTTTAAATTAAAATAATTCTTCAGAACAGTAAAAAGACTCTTTCTCTCTTTCTTTCTCAATTTGATCATGTTTTGACAAATGTCATACTTCTTTTAAAACGTTTAAGTTATATAATTAAAACTTTAGAAGGCTGTATATTTTTATTTGTGTGAAGTGAAATAGCAGTGATTCTGTCAATGGCTGGTTTCCATAGAATGTTTTGGTGTAATGTAATTACGCCATAGAGCAATTCATTTGTTAACAGCTTTAAGAAAGGCTGTAAGAGGAGAGAATGCAGGCATTTGAACATTTTCTATGATATAAGGATAGCACATTCTGCTGGATGTCAATTAGAAGGAAATGTGTCTTATAAATGAGATTTATTGTTTTGCTTTGTTTTTTTTTTAGACTGCTCGTCAGCTCAGTGAAGAGTACAAGGCTGTACGAGAAAGATATGCCAATCAGCGCAAGGAAATAGAACAAGGGCTTGCTAAGTATGCTAGCAGTTGTTTCAAAACCACTTGCTTCCTTTTGTTCTTTTGTACTACAGTACCTAAGTACTTTAGTTAGTTAGACTGAAGTCATTAAACCCGAAAATAATGACTATTAAAATGTGATACAGTTTAGATAAGACTATAGAAAACAAAGGAATTTGCAAAATTTAACACAATTTGGACACYATTTAATTACCAAAGTTTTTCATGGYTTTAGTGTTTGCATTCCATCATATAATAGTTTRTCCTAAACCGTAAACTTTCATTKCAACAGGTTCCTTGCAAAAACAGCAGAACACAAAGCAGCTGTGTGTCAAGGTTTGGAAAACGATCCAGCATGTTTATGTAAGTAT